CCTCGCTCAATGATTTGAACGCGGCTTGTGCGATGTACAAATGTGGAGGGCCCACTTTCGTTTTCAACTCCTGTATGGCGGTCACTTCGGCGTACTTTTTTCCTGCAGCCCTGGACGCAACGATGGGCAGGCACTCGACTGGGGCCACGACTGAGATCCACTCCGACGCCGCCAAGTCCCGCAACATTTGGGCGTGCATGCACGCCATCTTCAAGAGGATGTTGACCGCTTGCTGCAGGTCCTTGGCCTTCAAGGCCCCCTCCACTTTTGCCAGCTCGTCGTCGGCGTCGTCGGCCATCATTCCAACTCACCCTTTCTTTTTTGCCTGACCCTCGCCGTCGGGAGGTGACTGCGCCTTTTCCTTGTGTCCCCGCAGAAGCTCGTCCAAGTTCATGGCGGCGGACATGCTGTAGCCGACGGCGAGACAACGTCGGGGCAGGCAGCGAGCAGTGGGAACGTATGTGAAGTTGAAGCGAGTGAAGATCTCGAGCCAAGTAACTGCACACGGGGCAGGTGAGCAACGGGGGCTGGATGACTTCGCACTGCGTGCACGAGCCTCGACCCAGAGCACACCTGTTGCGTTGATAAGACCGCATCACGTGGCGTGCCGCGTTCTCCCGAGAGGCTAGCGCTTGCAGACAACGAAAGCATTGGTTGGTGACAGTAAGCAAGCTAGCCTCGTTCCTCACAGCGTGCACCCGTCCAGCATGAAGCAGCAGTTTCTTCAAAGACTCGAAGCGCTCCCCGCAGACCCCGCCCACCGCCGACGAAAGATTGCACTGGAAGGGCCCAGACCACTCCACCTCCACGCCCTCGAACTCCAGGGGAGACGGCGTGCCTAATCCAGGAGGAGGAACCGACCTCGAGAAAGCTTTCGCCCTCAGGATCGAGAAATCGATGTCGACCCACTTGTCAAACTCTTGATCGAACAGGAGCTTCAAGAGAGGGTGCCCAAACGGCAGCAAATCCTGGAGCTCCTCGGAGCCGTCGAAACCGATACGCAGATCGTCCAGAACCTGAAGGGCCCAGGGATTCGCATTTTCCGTCAGAGTCCAGGAAGACGTGATCACCTCCTCGTCGCCCAAACGCCCAAAAACACTTGCCCTCGCTTGTCGGTGCGCCTGAGGGTACCTACTCCAACTCTGATACAAACGCAACCGACGAACACGAAGTTCCTGCTCGCACGGTAGGATTCGCCAATGTGCACACATGCGCTCCGCCGACCAGCGACGAAGCTCCTGCTCGCCATGTTCCTCGAGGCCCAAGATGCCCATTCCCCTCCTCATAGCCTGCTGTAAAACCTGATCAGCTGCAGCACAAAAACTCTTATCTGGAATATGTGCCTCCATCCCCGAGAGCAGGGCCGACTGAACGAACGCGATCACCGCCATGCGCTGCACGCTCAAGACTGCAGGGTGCCTCAAAAACATGGAGATCGTACCGAGCCCCGCCCGCCCCGCTTGAATGCGTTTCACTTTTTCAACCTGAAGGGATCCACTCGTGGTCAGCCACCCGCCCAAGACTCTCATGAACCTCCCCACCTTGCCTTTGGTTTTCACGGCCCCGCTGAAGATCAGACGACGTTGCCCGAGAGATCCAGGACCGACGATCTTTACGAGGGAGACTCTTTTGTCAGGGTTGAGGGCGACTCCGATCTGGGCCAAGGCCCGCTGTAAGTGATCGCTGCTGACACGCGCGAGCGCCAGCAGATGCTGAGCTTCGCCTCCCATGCGCTGCGGAGGTGGACCTGGCCCAGGGATAACATGCTTTGTGATATCACCCGCGAACAGAGACAAGCCTACGTCCGTGGTGACCCCATTCGGCTCGGTGACCAACGCCATCGAACAGGAGGTAGTCCGCTGTCGAATTTCAAAGAACGGCTCCAACCCCTTCTGGTAGTAGTATGGAAAGCCACGTGCAGCATTTGGATGGCCCATGAAGTCGCCCGTACTGGGGCGCAAGCTGATAGTTTCGCCCGATGTGATAATCTGGCACGCACTCTGAATAATACGCTGATGTTGAAACCTGACGTCCTCTTCAAGATACAGCAGGGGCAGTGTGTCCAGCATGATGTCTCGCGATACACTGGAGAACGCGTTAGTGGCATCCTCGTTGACGATCACGTGAGAGTAGCCCTGCCTCTGCAAACGCCAGGACGTACAGCACTGCGTTAAAATCGCATCTTCCCGTCTGCGATTTTTTTTTTTTTTTTTTTTGCAAACCCATGACATACATATGGTAGAGCATCACGATGCCGACGTGCTCTGACCCATAAGTGCGAGTTCCACGCCTTGCCCAGAGGGCAGAATAAGTGAATCCAACGTTGACTCTCAGCTCCCAACTTTCCGTTATGCTTGTCAAGACCGCAGCAGGAGGATACATCAAAGATCAAAGGAGTGGACGCTGTCCGCCGAAAGCAAGCTAAGACATCTAAGAAACGCTCCGTGAAAGCCGTCGAAGTCGCAGGAAGAAGATCCGCCCCCACTCCACCACCACGAAATTGCTCCCAGCAAGCAGGATCCAGGAGCAGTAGCCAGAGCTCCGAAGGTAAAGACCAAGACGGAGTTGCCCGTCTTTTTGGAGCACGCCTCAACTGCCTCACTATGCCCATCAAATCGGTACGAGCGTCCGCTATGTTCTCAATCTGCATGGCGTTGTAGCGAACCTCCTCAGAGACATCCCAACCGTCGGAGTGTGGTCTTTCAAAACGGTCCAACAGTTCCTTTTGCAAGTCGCATGTCGCAGCACCGAGACCACCCTCGACCGCAGATCGGCACAGAAAAGCGGAGATCTCATGAGCTTCATTATTGTCCGACTTCAATACAAAATACTTCCTGTGCCGAGGACCTGCCCCACGCCTAGATAGTCGTCTAATGAGCCTCTGGACGTTGTAGTGGTCGTGCGACTCCCATGCGTTGTTTAGCTCCAGGATCAGAGATGCCTCTCGTTCTTTATTGATCAGCTTCGAGAGGCGACGAATCCGGAAAGTGGCGCGTGCCAGCTGAAGTTCCAGTTCCAAACGTTGCTCCAGACGGGCCACCCCAGACGAACTATCAGTTCCAGATCTGCAAAGACTCCCAATGTGTATGCTCTTGAACTTCTTCCGTGCTTGCAATAATTCTGAACGCTCCTTTCCAATACTGATGTTTCTGCCTCCAGGTCGGATTTCTTTGAGAATGTGTCCATCGCCGTCGTGGTCATCACGCTCACGATCGAGTTCCATACTTCATCAGGTGTAGCTCGGGCACACAGGCTGATCCATTCGTCCTCGGGGATCGACGTGACTGCCGAGTGTATGGCCTCAATCGCGTCCGTGCACGCAGTGCCCTGAGTGACAGAGCGCATAATCCTATCGTAATCCCACGGCGGTGTTCCGTCCACAAACTGAGCCTGAAAGTCATACTTCACTTGCAGATAAATGGGCCTGTGCTCTCGATCGTCCAGCGTCGATATCGGTTGTAATCGTCGTCCTGCTCCGTGCAAGATCGTGCATTTCTCCACGTGTGGGCGCAGCTGCTGAGGGATCACCAAGAAGTCGATCCGAGAAGACGAGTCGCCCACCCCGTGGAAAGTAGGTCCCAGCGGGTAAAAGGTGTTGATCGCGCACATGTTTGTGTCCCCCATGGTCTGACGCAGAGCGCTGCCCGCGACGCCCTCAAGGTCCGCGTCGCACTCACCGATACAAGCGTTCACACCCACCTCCTCATCAACAGGAATGGCCTCGCCCTCGTAGATGAACTCACGAGCTCTGCCCAGGCCGTCGTTCAGGTCCATGCCAACAATGGGTGTGCACCGCCCACCCGTAGATAATAACAAATTTCGTAGCCAAGCCAACATCTTGTTAACCGTCCGTTTCTGCTCAGCTCGGCCCGCCCGCACGCTCGAGTACACAGGAAAATACATAGTCACGAACAACACGTCCAGGGATCCAGACTTCAGGCGCACGGCGCCACACCTCCCCTCCAACTCCACGGGCGGGCAAAAGATACGTCTAATGCAGCGTTGCGGGAAGACTTTACTGTGCAGCATGATACTCGTTCCACATGATTTGTTCGAAGACCTCGAGAAACCAAACGATAATTCAGAATGACGAGAGTGGCGGAACACACGATGAGGTTCGTCCGCCATCTTCCTCCGACCAGTTCCCTGCAATAGGACCGCCCCCACGTTCCCGAACTCCGAAGAGACCTCCTCCCCGCGCATTCCACACAGATGCATTGGATTGTACGTCACAGCACGCAAAAATCTGGAGGGGGCCGCACCCGATGTCGTCGTCATCGTACACGCTGTCGCCGCCGCACACGGCGAGGAGCCTGCGGCGGCGGCGGGCACGGTCCGCTCCCTCTCACGGAGAGCGCGGGCCCCGCATGGGCGGAGAGCACATCGCTGCCTCTGAAGGGAGTGCCCTGGCAGTACCAGAAGCTGCGAGGAAGTGTGGGATTTGTGCCGCGACAGCAGCTTGGAGGAGGAGGAGGAGGAGGAGGAGGAGGAGGAGGAGGAGGAGGAGGAGGAGAAGCAGGGCGAGGAACCACAAGCCGCATGAGAACATAGAAACATCCGGGGCTCCGCGCGGACGTCTCGGAGCGGCGCGGGGCCCCTGCGGCGGAGCGAGGGGGAGTCCAGAGGCGCAGGAGGTGCAGGAGGGATGAGGAGGAGCACAGTTGACCCGAATGAGAG